AATTATGTTTTCTATATCAGATTGCAAACACGTGTGAAAAACTACTTGTTCTACATGACAGTAAACCAAAAAAACCATCCCTTTCATTAGCCCTTCTCTGAAATGGAATGACAGCGCAGCTTGCTACAGGCACATGATGTTGACATTTCCCTGCAAATTTTCTGTGCAGTGTGGAGCCAAGGTCTGAATAATGAATACAGATCTATTAGGCAGCCTTGATGCCCTTCTCCCGACAGGCAGACTGTGTCCTCGCTCGGCCCACTCCAAAGCAGGCCCGCTCTGCAGATTGTTCACTGATTTCAATGCTCGACTCTGACTGAAAACACTGCACAGCCCTCTTTGAACAGCGAGTAATTCTTGTTTCATATAAAGATGGGAAAATTATGATTATACTGATGATTATTGAATTGGCTCTGAGTCAACTGGGACCCTCTGTGCCGTTAAGAGTTTAAATCAAGTTTTCAGTATAACAAACATGCAATGATAAATAGACAATTTAGCATTAATTACATCAGTTTCCTTAAATTATTATGTGTAATAATCCACATAAAACTTCACAAAGGGTACATTTCACGCCATGTTTAAAACATCTGTTCGAGTTGTAAGTGCAGTTAAACTTCATACTAACTGGACCATTATTGTGACGGAGTGTCTTCCTCCTGAGGCAACTTCCACCCGAATGACGTTCATCTATAACCACGGACTGTGCTCTGAATGTCGCACTATGATTTCTGAAATTGAATTTTCCCAGGCCACAGAAATCTAATAACCTCCCAGCTAATGACAATTGAGTCAGACGAGATGAGTGAATTGCTTTCAATAGGCTTTAGGTGTTCCAAAAAGTCAATATCAATTTGCTGAATATTTGAGTTCAGACCAATAGGACTTCATGCAATATGAACATGATTTAAGATTGACCTTTCTCTTAGGGGGAGGAATCAATTCTGCACCTCCCTGACACACACAAAAGCTGAATAATGTAAATTTAACAATTGTAGTATCATTAGATGGATATTGAATTGCATTGTATACATAAGATCACATGAGTTCACATCTTTATCGTCCCTCAAGAAGAAATTATTTTTGCAGCACAGGAAACATAAAAACAATACAAAACACAATAAAACTGAAGGCACTATACACATAATGGAGAATACAATAAAATGTTGAGGTAATGAAAATAAAGAAAAACTGTAGCAATAACATACATAAGAGACACAAAAAAGGGCTAATATGTGATTTTAAATGTTAGAAATCACGTGTAAAATGAAGGTGTAAATTCCTGAAGCCTTGAAAAACTAAAGCTGAAATCTCAACAACAGATTGGATTGAATTTGGACTGGTCCTGGTCCTTACTTAAATACATTTTTCAAATAACATAAGTAATTAACAACTGACGATTTTCATTATCAATTAATATGCCAAAAAATTTCTCAATTTACAGAATATTGTCTTGTTATTTTTCTGTCCAACAGTCCAAAACCCAAAAGCCTTCAGTTAATGAAATACATAAAGTGAATGAATAATTAATTATGTATGGGGGAAAAAAGCATAGAATCTTCACATTTAAGAAGTCAGAAACAACAAATGTTTGACATTTTTCCTTAAAAGGTGACTAAAATTATTATTTGATTATCAAAATAGTTATATATCCCGTGTATCCCTATGCTCTGTACTCTACTTGATTGTCTGTCTCATCTGATGCTGTTTTTCACTGCTGGAGTGCAGCGATTGCTCGAGCAAAGACTTAAACCAGCTTCTTGCAGTCCAGCAGAAATGTAAAACAGACAGACTGGGAGGAGGTCAGGGTTATGAGGTCACAGTGTGGGAGGCAAGATAAATATATGTATACGCATTTACCACATAGAGAGGTTCGCACTGTCCTTGCTCAGAAAAGACACTGTAGTCACAAACAATAATTGTAATTTCAGTGAATGTGAATAAATCTAATTTGTGAAGGCGTTGAGAAACTCCTGGAGGAGAAAAGTGAGGCTGAGATAATCTGCCGCTGAAAGATAGATAGGTGGATGTGTATTGATTTTGCTGTGAATGATGAACAGTGGTGAACCTCAAACAAAAACTGTGGGAGCTGGGTTGGATGCCAGGAAGAAAATACAGTTAAAAGACGAGAGGACAAAAGCACAGAGGAGAGATGAGCCATGAACAGCAAGTGGCAAAGAATACCAAGAAATAGGAAAAAGAAGAGATAAAAAAAGAAAAAGAAGCAAGTTGCAGTGGCAGTGCTGTGTACACACAGACACACATACGTCTTTAAATCTCCACAGTCCATACATTTCTGCAGCCACCAATAGTAAGCAACTCTTGTGTTTTTCACACATAGCAGTGCTTTAAATGGGACATGCAATCTATACACTGAAAAGCAAAACAATCAACTCCCAGAAACTGGTTTGGAGTTCACAAAGAAGGCCTCCAGGCCTCATCTAGCAGCAGAGGTGGGACCACAGACAGTGAGGCTTGGGGGCTGAGGTAATACGCTCTTCATTAAAATGCATCAAAATAATACCGTTACACAAGAGATGCTTGACTGCTGCAGGCTGTTTGGCATGTTTTATAGAAGAGGCAGTCAACAGAGGATTTCCCTCTCAACTCTTTCTGGCTTTAAATTCATCTGCAAAAACTATACAAGCTTCTGGTGTCACTGTATGGGAGAAACTGTTTCCACTACCGGTTCAGGGTTTTGCTGTAACAGAAAACAAAAAGGCACCACATATGAAGCTCTAGCAAAAGTCAGGAAGACTATTATTTTGCATGCTTAGGCCTATTTCTCTTTGCATCCTGCATGCATTCCTCTCACACATGCATAATTATCCTTGCATTAATTATGAGGGGCTGTACCCTCAATGATACCAGTTGTTCTTATCAGCTATCCAGTGGGACGACACCTACATCTTCAGCATTTCATCATGATGTCTTTTTAAATATGATTCCTATCTACCTTCAGTTAATTTATGCTGCTGTTATAAACGCCGCTCCACCTCTCCATCACCATCCAGTCTTCGCAGATTCATCAGCTTCATTAGCTTCATTAGCTTCATTAGCTTCATTATTTCGTCAGCCGATCAGCTTCAGCAGAGTCATCAGCCACTGCCACCAGTGTCTGGACTCCATGGGGGGATTTATCTTGCTGCTGCTCAGGGCAGACGCCCTTTGATTACAAAAATCTCCAAAAGTCCAAAAGCGCTGGGGTCAGTCTGTTTGTCTGTCCAGCACTGATACAGAACATTATATCTCAACAGGAACTGGCCACATTATCGTTTATTAGATTACTATCCACTGGCCTTTGGACTAGTGCCACCAAAGTCTTTACTTGAACACAAGTAGTAGCACATTTTTAAATAGAAAAGCAACGCAAACAAACAAAGAAATCAACCTTTTTTCTCTCCTTGTACTGATGACAGTCTACTGATACAAACAGATCTGATAGCAGTGCTCTCTTTTTACCAAATCTAAAATCTGTAACCTCACTGTGACAAACTAATGGGATCATTTTTATGTAAGGTAACACGAGTCAAGGTATTACTGTAGTGCTTAGGACTGAGTCATTAGTGAGTGAATCAAGAAACACTGAATTGCCAAAGAGGTGGATTGGTCTTGTAATTGCAGATACCCGAATGAAATGTATTGTACATATTCTCCCCAGAGGATAAACCATTTGCATTTTAGACACTTCTTGCACCACCCGCTGGCCAAACTTTATACTGCGTAAGCTCAAGGGGAAATAAGTGTCAGTTTGTTGTTGGTGTTTATTTGTGGTGTACAGAAGAATGCATGTCACTGGGGCTTTAAACTTTAAAGGTTGCCTCTCACTTCCTTAGAGTCAAGATACTGACAGACCAGCGTTTCACAAATAAAGAGGATGAGTACACTGAGACTGGAGATGGAGGTCCTTCCTGGATACAACAAACCTACCAAGACCATCCTGAACCCGAACCATCTCTGACCCCAGGCAAACAAGACTGAGATTCTATTTTTTAATTAGCACTTAAGGTTGATGGAAACACCATTACTTTTGCAGGTATTCGGTGATAAATCAAAATATTGGATATTAATAATATCATTAGTTTTGATCTGATGATGGCACGAGATGAAGAGTCAGAAGATCACCAGAGTCGTTCCTCCTAAGAGGGACATGCATGTCTACCAAATTTCATGACAGTAATTGCTGAGACACTCAAAACCACAAATGTCATCCTCATGGTGGCGCTAGGGGAAAAGTCAGTATGCTTCATTCTCTGATCATGAATGTCTAAATGAGGTTTTAGGGGAATCCATCCTATAGTTGTTGAGATATTTCAATCTGGACCAACAGTGGCTACGAACAATTGGTCCAGCACCAGTTAAAGAGTCGTTTCACCCTTATTCCCCCAAGAAATAATCGATTTTCAACTTTTTATGATACACAACCATCTGAGGGCTCATTTTTAAACATAACATTTTTGTACATTATATCTAACTTTCTGCTTTGGTGGGCCTGTCACAGTGCTTTTACCCATTACCCTGGTGGGATGCATAATTTCACCGGCTGGATTCATTCGGCTTAACACAGCCGTAGACATCAAATCCCTCACATCAGCAGTGCCTGAGGCAAAATACAGCCAAACACGAATCGCTGATGGACACAGAATGACACGAAAGATGGATGAGGCTTTAAAAGGGGATGCTGTGTGGAAGGCAGCCGGGTGTCATCAAGCAGATGAACTGGATGGAAGAAGTGTGTGATTGTGCTTAAATACTGACATATTCCCCAGAACTTCAATGACTGAGAGTTTTTTGGTGGTTCTTTTTTTCTTCTCACCTGTTTTACTAGATAAGTGAGAGCATTATAAATAGTATGAAAATGAGCAGATGTCCTTAAAAGCTCTTACAGTTACTCCAAACAGCTTTTTGCTTGCAATGCATCCATGCAAATTATGTAGGGCGAACGTGCAGTTGTTAAAAGCTGCATAGTAAGAAGCTGCAGCACTATTTGGTGTGTGTGTGTGTGTGTGTGTGTGTGTGTGGATGGATGGAGGAGTAGTAGGGAGCGCATTGGACGGTGGGGAATGGTCACATGACAGTGACAGCATGTTCGATTTAAAAGAAAGGAAAAGAGAGACTTGAGCATCAGATGCGGGCTGATATGTGCTGAGGATTTGGCTGAACACCCGCTCACCTCTCCACTCTCCTGTCTCCAGCAGGCTGCTGTACGGGGGGGGCAGCAGTCAAATTCGCCACCGCTATTCCACCGACGCGACAATAATTATTTCCTCTCTTCAGCTTCTGCAAAATTAAAGCCACTGACCTACCTTTTTTTGTAACATTCATCATCTTAACAGCAGTGAGAAGGCGCATCCAGACGGAGAGCTTTTCACAATTCTCCAAAAAAGGTAAGAGAAAAATAACTTTTTAAAGCAATCCTTTGTGCGTAATTGTCATCGCTCCGCCAGTGTGATCTCGCGTTGTTCTACGTGGTCCAAACCCAATTAACAGCTGTAGTTTTTTTTTTTTTTTTTTGTGCAATATCTCAAATAAATCTCATGCATGCTCTCGCTGAGCACGTTCACCTGACAAAGGAAGGGGGTAGTAAGAGATGAGAAATCTGCCTCAACATAGTGTAATGTAGGGTATTTTTAATGACTCAAGGCTATAGGATTACTTTCAGTTATGCAGCAGCCTAATTAAACATTTGATGTGTAATTAATTTAGCCTTTTCTTAGCCAGCAAATCCCCATTTCCAATTAGCAATCCGCAAGTAACATACTAAATATAGGAAAGTGCATTTAATTTAAATGCTTTCTAATGCAAAGGCAATCCAGATTAAGTCTTTTCTTACCCTTTTATCTATTTTAATTTATCATTGCATTGATATTCTGTTTGAAACCCAGGACAACTCAGCTCATTGCAGAGGAGTTTAGGAGCAAATATTTCAACCCTTCTTCTTCTTTTCCTTTTTTAATTTGGGAGATATCTCTATTGTATATCAAAAATTTAAGGGACAGCATGCTGGTTACAGAAATTAGCTTTTGTTTTGAAGTGTTCTGGTTTGAATTCCTGTCTGTGGAAAATCTAAGCGTGGATATGGGAACAAGGCATTCAACAGCTGGTGGAAAGCTGTGGTAGTTCTTGGTTGCTCCTGAATATGTTTTAATGAGTGTATGTGATTGGTGTGTTTTTATGTGATTGTTCATCAATATTGGAAACTATTGATTCTACTTTACAGCATTAGGCTAAAGCAGATATTTGAGTAGTTTTCCAGTTTACACCATCAGAAAATGAAGAAGAGTGAGCAGTTGATTCATTATTAATGTAATTGCTTCCATAGTCCATCTGGGGAATAAATGCCTGCCTGCATCCTAATGATCACCTCCACAGTCGGAGATGCAACCCTAGTTCTGGGTGTCCTGGAGGCTCAGCAGGCTGCGGGCACATACTATAACCTTGGGTGGTCGGGTCCATCACCTTTTCTGAATGTCAAACCGGCTGTGTTCTTCCGCCAACATCTATTACAACTGACTTTAATCTTTGCAGCTTCTTGAGTGGAGGGAAAAGTGAGTCAAACAAAGTGTCTTTTCTTTTATCTGCAGTTGACCCCCATGTTGCTAAATGGAGGATTAACCTACCAGTCAGATGTTGTAAAAGACAACACTCTCACTCCCAACTCGTCAGATACCCTACGCTTCAAAATATGACCTTTAGGTGCTCCTCTAGCATCATTTCGGGACGTACAGGGCTCTACTGTAGTTAACAGTAACTAACATGCAATGTCCGGTCAAGATAGGAGTAACACATGTCCGATGAGACTTTCAAGATAAAGCTTTTTTTCGTGGTTAAGGTTGGTTGCCGTTTGGTTAGGTTTAGCCACAAAAACTACTTGGTTAGGTTAGAGCGCAAAGAACTAGTCCAGAAATTGAGGATGAAACATTTTTCTGGATAGACTTGAACAGTCAGGCAGAACCTAAACTGCCTTGATCTTTTTTTTTTCTTTTTGGAAAAAGAGGGTAGCTGTGGCTCATCCTAAATTGCTCCCAATGATTAAGTCAGTACCTTTTATGGTAGTTCACTGCCATCAGTGTGTGAATGGGTGAATGAGAGGCAAATTGTATAGTGCTCTTTAAATAAATGATCTATCCTTAAATGTAGGTTCTGGTCAATTAAAATGTTTAGTTTTTTATTTATATAAGAGTCAGATGATATGACATAGATCACCATGTACAGAACCTCAGACTTCATCTCCAGATAATCCAAAGATGCCTAAACTTTGTTTGATAGCTTGATGATTTAGACCAAATACAGACACACAACACAATAGTGTCTAACAAGAGCAAATAGGAATAATTGAGAGTCTATAATCTGTGTAGAGTTTAATTGTTTCTTGGTCAATTTAGACTTTTCCTCCTTAGAGCACATTTATTTGGACATATTCACACAAATTAGCTATAGCGGCACAATAAAAATGCCCTTCTCAAATTTTTCTAAATGACACATTTGAATGTTTTTTACATGAGAAATGAACACTCACAGAACAGAATGTCAAATATTTAAAATAATAAAAACAGTAGAGTCGTGTATATGTCAATCAAGAGGCCTGAAAGCAAAAAGACCCACTCAGCTTTTTGCTTCAGGCTCCATGTGTGGAAACTATTGTTCCTCATGAAAGAAGGCCACTTAAAGTTACCACAAACCCAGATGGTGAAGTTACCACCTGAAAGTAACCACCTCTAATGGTTTAAAATGATGCCAGTATCATAGAACTGTGCTCACACAGGGAGCAACGCAATCAGCAGAGGTTAAAAGGGATATTGTTGGAAACTGTTGGACAATCAAAGCTTATTTCAATCCCCCCTTTCACTCTGTACTTTCTTTTTAGCCAAAACGCCAATAAAATAAACATATTTGGCCTTTCAACCAAAAGATTAAATTGCATTAAATGATTGAAATCATGCAGCTCAGCAAATGTCATCTAACTGCACAGTTGCTCCTGTAACCTAAAATACATGAATGAAACTAACGACCAACTCTGCATCAGATCAATTAACACAGAAGCAAATCCTTAATTTTCACTCTCATTCTGTGGCACCTACTGAGTAAACAAAAGAAAATGCACAAATTCAGAGCAAACACTTTTCCTCTGTGAAAGCAAATGGATTCATTTATCAAAAACAAACCTTTTCGCTTGAATGACCTATGCTACCTGTCCTGCTTTCTGTAGGCTCTCCTTTGTTCTTCCTGTTAATGTTGCAGCGGATATGCTCTTGCCCCGCTATTGACACGTCTTTACCTTAAGTGGCTCTGATAATGTGTTTCCAGTAATCCTTAAAGCTTTTAGTTTCTCTTGTACGGGCATTATTCCGGTTTCACTTTGTGGGCTTTTCATAACCCATATTTATACTGTAAACAAACTCAATGCTGCCTCAAAGTCAAGCATTTTTACATAATGTCCTATGCAAATATCCTCTGAATGACCCACAGCCAATAACTCTTAGTGACTGTAATAAATGTTGTTTAAATCATAATAAGGTCATGTTGCTTTTACAAGATGCTTGTTAATAAATCCAGAGTTCTGTAGCTTTAAAAGAAACAAATATCCCAAAATGTTACATACTGTGTTCCTTTTATAAGTATTCAACATTCAAGGATGTTGCTCTGTCAAAGCATTTTTCCTCTGAAAGCTGTTGAAAAACATTTCACTGTTCTCGTTATATAAATATGACACATATTGGCAGGTTAAGGATGCAATTAATAAAGATCAAAATTTAAGACTCTCAGAGGCTATAGCTGATACACCACTGGCCTGATTTTGATGAATCGGGGAGGAAGGGTGGCTGTTGTTAATGACTGGCTGGAGGGATTCCTACATTATTCATAAGAAGTGCCAAGTTTTTTGTTGCCTTTTGTCTCTTATTTTATATTCCTTATGAAGGCACAGTAGACCTAGAACGGGGCTGGAAGACATGCCAGAGTCTGTCTGGGAATTATATTTACGCATTTAACTTAATTATCAAATCAAACAGATATTCTCTGCAGCAATGTACATGCAAAATGTTAATCTTAAATGCTTACTGCGGGTTTCGCTCTTCTTCCACTTGTATTTGTCTTTAACAGCTATAACTTTGTATGGATCAGCTTTTGAAAGTGTCTGACAAAGCATGGGTAGGGACTAGTTTTACCTGGGGACCTCATGTGATTTAGTAATTACCCCACCATGTTTGTGTTTTGTGCGGCACATTCACATGGGATAAGCGGAGTCTGTGTTTTAACTCGAATTTACTGACATTATCCCCCGGATATGATGTCAAGGCTCTGCGTAACCTATGCGTAACATCTGCTTCCTGGACGACAAGAACAATGGCTGCAAAGAAAAAAACCCGGCATTGGACGAGCGAAGAGAGAGAGTTTAATTGCTGTGTGGGGTGAACCACATTACCAATTCAAGCAAGCAATTTGATCAAATTGTGCACAACCACACAGTTTGGGAAAGTATTTACAAAGACCTCTTGCTCCAGTGCCTGTCTGTACAGGGGCTACCTGTACCTCTAACGCAGCCTCCAAAATTCTCGACCGGGAAAAAGGCAGAAAAAAGGCGCGGAAAACACAAAAAACCTTAAAAAAACCAAAAAACGACCCCAAATCACAGAGATGCCGATTCGCACGGGACTGATATTATCACATGACCTCTGTGTTTGACGAAATATGGTAGGTAATTTGCGGTGGAATTTTTACTTTACAAATTATGGACATGGCAGATTCGCACAGGATTAAGATCACAGATGACCTCCGCAATTATTACAAATTACTAGTCCCCAGGTAATACTAGTCCAGTGCGAATAGGGCTTAAGGATACAGGTTTCCAATTAAGAAATGAATCTACAGTGGGTTAGATTGTATCTGTGTGAGGATGTAGAACAAAAACCACGATCATGGATTTTTGGTGGTTCATTGCAAAGGCAGTGACTGTTATAAACACTTTCTTCCATACTATAGGCTACAGTAACACAAAGACTATTTGGCAAAAGATTTATAAGGTGGCACTAAACTAATACGAGTCTTTTTTACAGTTCAATTCAATAAAATTTTATTTGTATAGCGACAGAGAGAGAAAGTAGAGACAGAGAGACAGGAATGCACAGCTGCAACAATACTAACAATAACAGTGGTAATAAGTATGACTAATAATAATATTCACAAGTGACCTCTGATCTCTCTCTCACAGACACGTACACACACACACACACACACACACACACACACACACACACACACACACACACACACACACACACACAGTGGGGGACTCAGGGTTAGGATTAGAACCCTAGAGGGCACGTTATCATGTTTTATCTACCATAGGGACATCCAAGAGGTTTTTATCCAACATGGGAGCACGAGA